TTTTTTGTTGTTATATACCTGGATGACTGAGAAAACAAACTTTGTGTTTTTGAAACCATTAGTGAAAAGGCCAAACTTCAGGGGTATCTGAGGCAGGCTTGAAACACAAGAGTCAGGGTGGCTTCTGGGTAATACCACATGGCTAGGCCTCAGACTGACGAAGCCTCTTGGATGAGGGGCGAAACGTTTCTTTTTAACAAAAAAACGAAGTCCAGATGACATGATTCAACCTTTTTTGTTGTTATATACCTGGATGACTGAGAAAACAAACTTTGTATCCTAAAAAACAGTTTTGTAAGCTATGCACATAAAAACAGTGATTTTCAACAACTGGCCGCTACAAATGCAAGCTCACAGCTCGTTGGTCACCTGGTCTCAAACAGTCAGCATTCAGTGAGACCGCAGCTGAAAATTCATGGACTTTTTTCACAAATTACCTGCAATTTTGAGAGATTATTTTATCAACTAGTCTTCTGACAGTCACGGCTCAATAAGAAAGGCCTAAGACAGAAAACATCACAAACTACAGCCTGGAATTTCCAGGCCAGCAAATCACACAGGTGATAAATATCAAAAACCTAGTCCAAATGCAAATAATGCCTACAAAAAGAGGTTGTGATTTTCAAAACATGGCTCACTGGTCACAAACGCTCAGAATTTACTGAGACTGCAAATGAAAAGTCACACATTTTCTTGCAAATCTGAGTCTCCAACAGTCACAGCCCACTGAGATATTATACTAAGTGTACGAGTTAGTGGCAGAGCAGCTCAGTCTGACCTGTTGATTCAGACGCTGTGGCTCAGCTGGAAGGCCAGTGGAGTATTCCTCAGTCCGCTCCACGCTCACCAACTGCATTTCAGTCTGTGTGAAGCTGAATATGAGGCCAGACAGCAGCAGTGTTATGGACAGGGCATAGGACAGGGACAAGCCCACCAGACCTGAGTGGAACAACATGATCAGTCACTCAACACCTGGAATCAAAAATCACAGTCATCAAATCCAGCCTTTTTCTAACCTGGATCGACAGAACTATACTGGTGCTGAACGACAGCTATCACCCCAAGACCTGTCACTACAGCGACACCAATCAGCTGCAGGCGGATGTCCAGCCACTGCATAGCAGCATAGCTAAGGAACAGGCATCGCTGGTTCTGCTCCAGGAGACTGGCACACTCTCCCTCAAACCTGACGCAAAAAAAAAATAGTCTTATTAGTTTTATATATGGAGGAGATCCGCTCAGACTGGTATTTAAAACATAGCTATACATTAAAGCTTGAATATAACGGCTTCATTTTGATTTAACTAGCTTTTTAAGTAACCTGATTTAAGAGACTGAAACTTCTGTAAGGTAAGGTAAATTTTTATTTATTTTTTAACTACCGTATTTTCCGTCGTACACGTCGCACCGCCTTATAAGTCGCATCAGTCCAAATATGTCTAATAAAGTGGAAAAATCCATAAATATGTCGCTTCGTCATATACGTCGCATCTATTATGCGTCACCGCTGACAACCCAGAAATGTGGGCCGGTGTTGTACCAAAAATTGATGGGCTGTCAAATGGTGGCCGCGGGAGTGTGCACGGGAGGACTTTAACAAGAATTTAACAAGATTAACTCTTAAAAACAATTATTTGTTTGCTCAATATTATAGTAAAGGTGTGTCTCGGCTGAACTTTTCCTTAATAAATGCACTTCAATGGTCAAATCAGCTGCATGTTTCCGGGGCGGTGCAGCGAAATGAAGCTGATTTGACGGTTGCTCCAGGCGAGCTGGACAAAGGTGGCAGTCTATGGCAAGCCAAGTGTGTCAATAATAGCCACTTTTACCTATTACTTGACACAATGGCATGCCATCCTACTTGAGTGCCATCTTGCGGCTGAAAATGGTAGTGTTCAATATTTTCAGTCAGAATGAATGGAAACAGTCATATCTCAGCCAAAAATTGGTTTTTAAATATGGGAAACAATCCATAAATATGTTGCTTCAGTTTATAAGTTGCAGGGCGTGTAAATTATGTAAAACACTGCGACTTATTGGCCAAAAAATACGGTAGCTGACATGAAGTTTTCAGATATCAAACACTCTGTTTGCATGTCTACCGTCCTGGCTGTCACCTGGTAGATCTGCCACTGGCCCGGATGGTTCCCAGACCAGTAATCGTCTCAGAGAAGTGCGAGTAGATGGGTGAAAGGGTGAGGCTGCACAGGCGCTTCAGCTCTCGAGAAGTGTATCTGTAAAAGCGCTGCGTGTGGTAGTAGATCAGAGCCAGGGGGAGCAGTGGCACCAACACCCAGGGGAGGCCATAACTGATCACCACTAACATGCCGAGCATGCCGAAGATGTTGGCCAAGAGAATGTTCAGGATGAACGGCAGGCTGTCGTCCACGGTGTACAAGTCTGAGGAAAAACGGTTGAGTATACGACCCAGTGGGGTGATGTCAAAGAAGGTGACTGTGGCCTGGAAAAACACAAGTTTTGTTAGCCAGAATTGAACTGGAAAATGTCTTTGAATATTTTTTGCTGGACATATCAATAAGTTACTACTTACAACTTTATTCACACAGTTTTTATTATGATAATATTCCATATATCAGTTTATACAGCCAGTTTCTGCTGCTTCTTACTGACAAAACAAGTTAATGCTGGTTTAAAGAAGCAAAGTCTGAATTTGAAGAAATCTAGCATGCTGGCAAAAAGCAACCCATAAAATCAAAATGAAGAATTCTGAAAAACCTGCTGCACAGATAATTATTTACGTATTCTGTAGCGGTGTAATGAGATTTTGTGCATATCAAAGTCCTGAAACAACACCGTTAGGAGTTTTTAATGATCCACTTTACTGCTAACTCTGGGGACGTATCCCACGTATTCACCTATCACTGGAGTCTCTGGAACATAACCCCTGCGATAGGTGGGATCACTGTATTTGAGCGTAGGATGTCAGGTGCCAGCAGGCTAAAAGCTCAGGTGACGCACCTTAAAGAGCCGGTCCAAAAGTCTGTTGTGGATGACAGAGGCAGCACAGATGACTCCATAAGCGAAGAGAAAGGCTCGGAGGGCGGTGAACACAGCGTTGGCCGCAGCAATGGATCCGTAGACCGTCAGGTAAAACTTGACATCCCCGTTCATGTTTTTGGAGAGAAAGGTGTGCACAGAGGGCAGAGGAGACCTGATTGGTAGATGTAAATAACAGAAGTCAGTAAAAAAAGACAATGAGTTTTGAGAAACTTGAACTCCTGCTGTAAGTGTGTGTTTAGATAATTTACAGTACTGGCATTAGCTTGGTGTCATTAACAAAGACGCTGAGACTGACAGCACATTTCTTTAAAGAGCTGGTGAATTTTCAAGCTTATTTTTACTTGGAACAAATGCCTACAATACCTCGGAGAAAATGTGTAAACTCAGCTAAACATAAAAAACAAACTGTCATAATTTGTTAGATTTGAGTTCAGTTTTTACTTGATTTAGAATTTTTTTTATTTAAATTCCATTACATTGTCAAACATCAAACTGCACAATTTATGTAGAAAATCAGTGAAAATGGACTTTCACTGAACTTACAGGAGCAGTTTTGTGAAAGGATGCTGAGTGTAACCTAAGCTGACTTTAAAATCCACAGCATCCGAACAACACTAAAAAGATTTTGCATCACCGTGACTAGAGTCAAAATATGGAACAGACTGAAAGCTGAAATAAAACAGTGTCCAAACATTCAAAAAACAGATATTAAACCATGACCAGGTATAAAGAAGATGGGGATTAATACCCAATATGTGAAGTGTGAAAAAATGCAAGTGTATTTTTTTCCTGTATAGTTTAGAACTTATAATTATATATTAAATAATATAATGTCACCTCTCTGGTGGGGAAGGAGCCTGAGCTGGTGTGTGAGGTTGAGAGATTCCGGCTAGAAATAGTCAGACTCACCTCAACACATGGCTCTGGCTCTGGAACCAGTTTCTTTGAGAGGGGTTGGATACTCTTCCACTCTGGAGTTGCCCCTGGCGGAAGGCTCCGAACAGGAGTGGGCATACTTGTTGCCCCCCAACTTGGTGCATGTACGTTGGGGTTCACCCCGGTGAATGAGAGGGTGGCCTCCCTCCGCCTACGTGACAGGGGACGGGTTCTGACTGTTGTTTGTGCTTATGCGCCAAACAGCAACTCAGATTACCCACCCTTTTTGGAGTCCTTGGAGGGGGTACAGGAGAGTGTGCCTCCTGGGGACTCCCCTGTTCTACTGGGGGACTTCAAAGCTCACGTGGGCAATGACAGTGAGACCTGGAGGGGTGTGGTTGGAAGGAATGACCCCCCTGATCTGAACCCGAGTGGTGTTCTGTTGTTGGACTTCTGTGCTCGTCATGGATTGTCCATAACAAACACCATGTTCAAGCATAAGGGTGTCCATATGTGCTCTTGGCACCAGGACACCCTAGGCCGCAGTTCGATGCGACTTTGTCGTCGTCTCATCTGATCTGCAGTCACATGTCTTGGACACTCGGGTGAAGAGAGGGGCGGAGCTGTCCACTGATCACTACCTGGCGGTGAGTTGGCTCCAATGGTGGGGGAGGATGCCGGTCAGACCTGGCAGACCCAAACGTATTGTGAGGGTCTGCTGGGAACGTCTGGCAGAGTCTCCCGTGAGACGGAGCTTTAACTCCCACCTCTGGAAGAGCTTCAAACATGTTCCGGGGGAGGTGGGGGACATTGAGTCCGAGTGGGCCATGTTCCGCGCCTCTATTGTTGAGGCGGCTTAGCGGAGCTTTGGCCGCAAGGTTGTCGGTGCCTGTTGCGGCGGTAACCCTAGAACCCGGTGGTGTACACCGTCGGTGAGGGATGCTGTCAGGCTGAAGAAGGAGTCCTATTGGGCCTTTTTGGCCTGTGGGACCCCGGAAGCTGCTGATGGGTACCGGCAGTCCAAGCGGCATGCGACTCGGGTGGTCGCTGAGGCAAAAACTTGGGTGTGGGAGGTGTTCGGAGAGGCCACAGAGAATGACTTCCACACGGCTTCGAGGCAATTCTGGTCCACCATCTGGGGTCTCAAGAGGGTAAAGCGGTACGCCACCAACACTATTTATAGTGTAGGTGGTGTGCTGCTGACCTCAACTCGGGATGTCATGGGTCAGTGGGCAGAATACTTTGAAGACCTCCTCAATCCCACTGGCACATCTCCCACTGAGGAAGCAGAGCTTGGGGACCTTGGATCGGGCTCTCCAATCTCTGGTGCTGAGGAGACCAAGGTGGTTAAAAAGCTCCTTGTGGCAGGGCCCTAGGGTGGATGAGATTCACCCGGAGTTCCATAAGGCTCTGGATGTTGTGGGGTTGTGTTGGCTTACACAACTCTGCAATATTGCATGGACATCAGGGGGAGTTCCGCTGGATTGGCAGACTGGGGTGGTGGTCCCCCTATTCAAATAATGGGACCGTATAGTGTTTTCCAACTATAGGGGGATAATGCTCTTAAGCCTCCCTGGTAAGGTCTATTCGAGGGCTCTGGAGGAGAGGGTTTGTCAGATAGTCAAACCTCGGATTCAGGAGGAGCAGTGTGGTTTTCGTCCTGGTCGTGGAACACTGGACCAGCTCTACACCCTCAGCAAGGTCCTGGAGGGTGCATGGGAGTTTGCCCAACCATCTACTTGTGTTTTGTGGACTTGGAGAAGGCGTTCGACCGCGTCCCTCGGGGAGCCCTGTGGTGGGTACTCCGGGAGTATGGGGTACCAGGCCCTTTGATATGGGATGTTAGGTCCCTGTACGACTGGTGGTGGAGCTTGGTCCGCATTGCCAGCAGTAAGTCGGACTCGTTCCCAGTGAGAGTTGGACTCCGCCAAAGTTGCCCTTTGTCACCGATTCTGTTCATAACTTTTATGGACAGAATTTCTAGGTGCAGCCAAGGTGTTGAGGGGATCCGTTTTGGTGGCCTTAGGTTTGCTTCTCTGTTTTTTGCAGATGATGTGGTCCTATTGGTTTCATCAGGTCGTGATCTACAGCTTTCACAAAGCAGTTTGCAGCAGAGTGTGACGCGGCCGGGATGAGGATCAGTTCCTCCAAATCCAAGGCCATGGTCTTGAGCCGGAAAAGGGTAGAGTGCTCTCTCCGGGTCAGGGAGGAAGTAATGCCCCAAGTGGAGGAGTTCAAGTATCTTGGGGTCTTGTTCACGAATGAGGGAAAAATGGAGCGTGAGATCGATAGGCGGATAGGTGCAGCATCGGCAGTGAAGCGGGCGCTGTATCGGTCTGTCGTGGTGAAGAGAGAGCTGAGTCAAAAGGCAAAGCTCTCAATTTACCGGTCGATCTACGTTCCTACCCTCGTCTATGATGAGCTTTTGGACCACGAGCTCGGTTGTGACCGAAAGAACAAGATCTCGGATACAAGCGGCCGAAATGAGTTTTCTCTGCAGGGTGTCTGGGCTCTCCCTTAGAGATAGGGTGAGAAGCTCGATCATACGGGAGGGACTCAGAGTAGAGCCGCTGCTTCTCCACATCGAGAGGAGCCAATTGAGGTGGCTCGGGCATCTGGTCAGGATGCCTCCTGGCTACCTCCCTGGTGAGGTGTTCTGGACATGTCTCACCGGGAGGAGACCCATAGGAAGACCCAGGACACGCCGAGGGACTATGTTTCTCGGCTGGCCTGGGAACGCCTTGGGATTCCCCCGGAAGAGCTGGCCCAAGTGGCTGGGGAGAGGGAAGTCTGGGCCTCCCTACTTAGGCTGCTACCCCCACGACCCGACCCCGGATAAGCAGAAGAGAATGGATGGATGGATGAAGATAATACATTATCTAATCACAATTATTTTTATTACTATTAATAATAATTAGTATTAAATCATTTTGTCAGCAAGTGCTATTGATTGAAGTAATACTAAGAATGTGTGAAGGCACTATGTTTAAATCAAATAATGTATAAATATGCATGTACTGTATATATGCTTATAGGGTTGTGAATACTGGTTTTATATGTTACATACTTACATATAGAAATTTATTGTGTATATGAATACCACATCAAAATACAAATTCATTCAACCTTTATTTATACAGGTTAATCCCATTGAGCCTCGAGGACTCATTTACAAGAGACCTGATTTCAACAAAGAAAGATGACAACAATGGACAACAGCAACAACAATAGACAGTTATAAAAAGGCATACAGATTTTTTTTTTTTAACGAATAAGATGGCAAAAAGAGTAACAAAAAACAGCTAGATTCTAAGGCGAATGTAGAAAACTAAAAACAGGAACATGTCTACATTGGTCCCTGCCAGGAATCCAACAGATTCTTAAAACCACTTAGAAAGGTCAAGGTCAAGAGCTTCAATTGTTTTTGTAAGATATTCCAGGAAACAGGAGCAGAGTAGGAGAAGGCCCTTTTGCCAAGTTTAGTTCTCACTGAGGGAACACTGCAGGTAATAATGTCCTGAGAGCGCACGCTGTAGCTGCAGGAGGAGATGTATGAAGGCAGCAGACCAAGAAGTGATTTAAAGATGAAAATGTACCAGTGAGAGAGTCTGCGTGAAGTTAATGATGACCAGTTAACCAGTGAATACAGGGTGCAGTGGTGGGTACGATAATCACAGCCAGTATATACTAAAGTACTAAAGTAAATACTTTACTAATACAAAATATTAATAATATGTTACACTTTATGTAAGAAAAAAATATATTAATTAAAGATAAGGGGTAGAATTACTGTAAATAAATTTATCCGTCCTCCTACTCCTTATAAAATTATAAAATGCTGGCAAGTTTAATATTTTCTCACCCCCAAATTAAAAAAAATATATATTATTATCTTCATTGTATGTTTCTGCTTTTGTATGGGTCTATTTGTGCTCCCCCCCCTTTATTTACTTACATGAGGCCACCAGTTGAGAAAAGAAGGAGGTGAGGAGGAACAGCGTCGAGTGACGTCGAATCATTACCGCAGCTGGAGCCGTTGTATTTTAGTGTAGAGATCCAGTAGGAGAGCCACCAGTCGGAAGCATTCTTAGAAGCTGAATATCACACACACACACACACACACACGTACACACACACATTTACTATTTTCTGCAGAGCTGTCATGTGTCGGACTATATTTTAATGCCATGTCAAACAGCCCTTTTCACTGCTAAAACTGCCCAGCTCTACGAAAGGCTGAACTTAGTTTCAGACAAAGCAACAACAAAACAAACAAAAAACTCATTGAAGAGCATGGTAACAGTAGCTCCTGTTAAAAAAAAATGTTTTGGGGACAAAATACAATTTAGCTTGAATAAAAAAATAAAATAATTGTTGCTTATTACACATAGTATTAGAAAAAGAGCAGAACCAAACTAATGTAGATCGTCTGCTGCTATAAAAACAGAAAAACTTTGTGCTGCTAACCACATATCAGAACATGTTTCTACCTCGTGTACTGCACATGCACTAATCAACATGTGCCTCAAGTGTTGTCTCTTAATTACTTGTTTAAATTAGAATGTTTGGATTAGATGTCTGTTTGTATTTATTATATGTCTGTTTGTATTTATTGTTGTGTTGTGTATCTGCACTGTGTTGTTTTGCACTTTATGTTCTGTGTTGCATCGTGATCCTGGAGAAACGTTTCATTCCTATTTGTACGTAGCTGAAATGACAGTAAAAGCTCTCTGACTCTGATAAAACCTAAAAACATTTATTTTTTGTATAAGAAGTACAGAATGTGGAAGACTCAAACCTTGCATGAGGAACAGCGACATTAGGATGGAGGCAGCAAGTGCTCCTCCCACAGCAAACCAGTAGGTCTGATAAACTCTCCATGCCAGTCCACCTGCTTGCTTCTGTTCTTCACTCAACAAATCCAGATCTTGGTCCACGCAGAGCTCGGGGAGAGAGCCCGACTCCTCCTCATCTTGCTCCACCATAGCTGAGTGCAAAACATTTTTTGCAACGGAAATAATTTTTGTTGTGAATTAGGGGTATATAAGCATACTACAAAAAATAAATGGCTGTTGAAACTTTAGTGACAGTTCATTTATTCTAGTGAGATGTACACGTCTGAGTCAAAGCTTTTGCATAGTTTAAACTTCCGTCAGTCTCACAGCTTCGGCCAGTCTGTCAGAACGTTGTTGTACCTTTTTGTTCGGCTTTGTTGTCATTCCTCTCCATTTTTGGAACAGCCTCGACTAAAGGGAGGATCTCTGCTGGTGTTCCTGTTTTTAAAAAAAAAAGCAATGCTGCATGTGACACACCAGTACATGGAATTATTTTCATAGCGTTTTTATTTTTAACTAAGAAAACAAGCCAAGAGTCTGAAATATGTAAATATTTGTTTAACTTGTTGAGGTTGTGCAACACAGAAGGTATAGGTTCACATTCCAAGAAGTTTTGAAATAATTCAACTTGTTTCCTCTTCCACAAAAGGCTTGTTCCTGGCTACAGGAAACATCTAACCAACCTGGATGACCCTAAATTTTCTGCTTTTAAACTCAGCTGAGACTGAGGTTTTAGTTTTAGGACCTGATCTTAGGAATGAATGTTTCAGTCTTTCTCCCTCCTTAGATGCATTAATCTGTCCTCCAGCTCTAATGTTAAAAATCTTGGTGTTATTTTTGATCAGGACACGTCTTTTATCCCCCACATTAAAAACGTTACTAGAACCTCCTTCTTCCACCTGCGTATTATCACTAACATTAGAAACATCTGATCTAAAAATGATGCAGAAAATCTGGCCCATGCATTTGTCACGTCTAGACTGGACTACTGCAATGGTTTATTATCTGGGTGTCCAAATACTTCTTTAAAACGTCTTCAGTTGATCCAAAATGCTGCTGCCAGAGTCTTAACTGGAGTTACTGGGAGAGATCATATTTCTCCAGTTTTAGCTTCTCTCCATTGGCTCCCTGTCAAATCCAGAATAGAATTCAAAATCTTACTTCTAACCTACAAAGCTCTTAACAACCTAGCTCCATCTTATATTACAGATCTTATTGTTCCATATTTTCCTAACAGAGCACTTTGCTCACAGACTGCAGGTTTACTTGTGGTTCCTAGAGTTTCCAAAAACAGAATGGGAGGAAGATCTTTCAGTTATCAGGCTCCTCTCTTGTGGAACCAACTTCTAGTTTCTGTCTGTGAGGCTGACACATTGTCCAGTTTGAAGACTGGGCATAAGACTTTCCTTTTTGCTAAATCCTATAGTTAGGACTGGGTTGGTATCCTGACCTATCCCTTATCCTATGCCGCTATAGGCTTAGACTACTAGAGGACAAATTGACCTCATTCCATCAAATGAATACCGTATTTTCCACCATACACGTTGCACCGCCCTATAAGTCGCATCAATCTGTACTTGTCTAATAAAGTGGAAAAATCCATAAATATGTTGCTTCACCGTATACGTCACATCTATTATGCGTCACCGCTGACAACCTGGAAACGTGGGCCGGTGTTGTGCCAAATACCGATGGGCCACCAAATAGCGACCGCAGGAGTGTGCACGGGAGGACTTTAACAAGAATTTAACAAGATTAACACTTAAAATCAATTATTTGTTTGCTCAAAATTATATTAAAGTGTGTATCAATCTAAAGTTTGCTTAATAAATGCACTTTAATGGTCAAATCAGCTGATTTCAAAAATAGTTTCACTGCTGAGGTGCTCCATGAATGCGCAGAGGAAGAGAAAAGGAAGAAGGAACGCGGCTCGTGTCTCCGAAAATTAACAAGAAATGCACCTAAACAATTATTTGTTTGCTCACAATTATAGCAAGGTGTGTCTCAGTCTAACTTTTACTTAATAAATGCACTTTAATGGTAAAATTAGCTGTATGTCGCCGGGGCAGAGCAGCTGGTTTGACGGTCGGTCCAAACAGCAAGCAGAATGAAGGTGGGGAGTCTATGGCAGGCCGATTGTAGCATTAATCAGACCATTTACAACCGGGAGCAGCTGATTAACATCTCCAAAGCTCAAATAATATCTCAACTACAGCCTCAAATCCCAAATGAGTTGAAAAGGAGGCGTTGTGGATGCAGAGCAGGAGCAAAGAAGAGGGAGAAAGAGAGAAGAATGAAGTTTAAACCATCTCTTCCATCAATCATGATGGGCAATGTGAGATCGCTGGGAAACAAGTTGGATGAACTTCAAGCCCTAACAAGGACCCATCCAGAGCATCTGGAATGCAGTGTTATGTGTTTCACTGAGACATGGCTGCAGGATCATATCCCCGACTCCAGCGTTTCCTTGCCAGGCTTTCTGACCATACGAGCAGATAGAGATTTAAAGGAGTGGCAAAAGGAAAAGAGGTGGGTTGGCAGTGCTTGTGAACAACAGATGGTGTAATCCTGGACATGTTACTGTTAAGTGTCATCTCTGCAGTCCAGATATTGAACTGTTAGCACTAAGTTGTTGTCCATATCATTTGCCAAGAGAGTTCACCAGTGTTATTTTGGCAACTGTTTATATTCAACCCAATGCTGTTGCCGAGGCTGCGTGTGATATCATCAGCTCCGAGGTTGCTAAGCTACAAACACAACACTCTAGTGCGTTTGTTGCAATATTTGGGGATTTTAATCATGCCTCTCTCTCTGCTACACTTCCGACATTCCAACAGTTTGTCAGCTGCTCTACCAGAGAAAACAAAACGCTGGACTTGTTTTATGCAAATGTCAAGGATTCATACATCTCTAAAGCAAGATCCCCTCTTGGCAAATCAGATCACAATCTTGTGTTTCTCTGCTCAAAATATAAACCCCTTGTTCAGAGGCAACCTGCAATAAAGAGAACAGTGAGAAAATGGTCGACGGAAGCTGAAGAAGCCCTGCGGGGTTGTTTTGAGGCTACAGACTGGGATGCACTGTGCCAGCCACATGGAGAGGACATCAATGCCATGACTGAGTGTGTGACCGACTATATAAACTTCTGTGTAAACAACACCATCCCCACCAGAACAGTGAGATGCTTCCCCAGTAACAAACCCTGGATCACCACTGACCTGAAGGAACTGCTAAACCAGAAAAAAAGAGCCTTCAGGGAGGGAGACAGGGAATTATTGAAGAGCACACAGAAGAAACTAAAAGTCAAGATAAGAAACAGCAAGGAGGTGTACAAGAAGAAGCTGGAGAGCAAGCTCCAACAGAACAATATCAGAGAGGTGTGGTCAGGGATGAAACAGATCACAGGCTTCAAGCAGAAGGAGGATCAGAAGGATGGAAGCCTGGACAGAGCCAATGAACTGAACACATTCTTCAATCGGTTCAGTTCAGGAACAAGCTCAGCATCCTCCTCTCTTGCCCACAGCCAAACATACATACCACCCTCCATTGACCCAAGGCTGTCCTGTCACACCTCAAATATTGTATCTACCACCTCAGTCATGGACCCTTCTTCTACATATTGGTCTTCAACTAAATCAGAAGATGCTGATACCTCCATTGCCTCCCCCCTCTGCGTCTCCAGAAGTCAGGTGAGGAAGCAGCTGGAGAGATGGAACCCGAATAAGGCTGCAGGTCCAGATGGTGTCAGTCCCAGAGTCCTGAAGGTCTGTGCAGAGCAGCTCTGTGGGGTTCTGCAGCACCTCTTCAACCTTAGCCTGACACAGGAGAAGGTTCCAGTGTTGTGGAAAACGTCCTGCCTTGTTCCAGTGCCAAAGAAAACGCACCCATCAGTCCTCAATGACTATAGACCTGTTGCCCTGACATCCCACATCATGAAGGTCCTAGAGAGACTTCTGTTGACACACCTGACTAGACAAACAAGCACATATCAGGACCCACTGCAGTTTGCTTATCAGCGTGGACTTGGAGTTGAAGATGCCATCATACACCTGCTTCAGCAAACTCTCTGTCATCTAGAAAAGGCAGACAGCACTGTGAGAGTCATGTTCTTTGATTTCTCCAGTGCATTTAACACAATCCAGCCTGATTTGCTTTGTCAGAAACTCCAGAAGACTCAGGTGGAGGCCTCAACAATCACCTGGATCAAAGACTACCTGACAGACTTGAATTGAATTGAATTAATAGCTTGTGAAGATTCTCAGTCATCCAGAACATGGTAAACTCAAAAAAGTTCAAGAAAAAAAACAAGAATGTATAAAGTATAATAACTAAAGTCCAGTTGTTTTTGTCTTGAACTTTTTTGAATTGTCATTTTAGCCACATTTTTCTATTACACGATACAACAAGCCATACTGCTACTACTACTATGCTGCCATCTAATGGCTGAAAGTGATACTGCTCAATTTTTACTTTATTTTTTTTCAGTCAGAATGAATGAAAACTGTCATCTCTCTGCCAAAAATTGGTTAATATGGGAAAAAAAATTGATAAATAGGTTGCTTCGCCCTATAAGTCGCAGGGCATGCAAATTATGCAAAAAAACAATGACTTATACAAAGAAAAATAGGGTAGTTTGTACTTGTAATTATTTCTATCTTAACGTAGGTTTTTTTCTTTCCTCCTAGACCAGAACCTGCTCGCCTCCATTCTGGACCTACCATTCTGGACCTACCATTCTGGACCTACCATTCTGTGTTTGTTTCTCCTTCCCGTCCTCTCAAACCAGCCGGTCAAAGCAGATGAGCACTCATCCTGAGCCTGGTACTGTTGGAGGTTTCTTCCTGTTATGAGGGAGTTTTTCCTTCCACTGTTGTCATTGTGCTTGCTCAAGACGAGAGACTGGGATGCAATGACTCATTGCAGTCTGCTAGCTACTCTACTTTAGATAAATGTTACTAACTGAATTTTTATGTATATGAATGTTTCTGTTCAGTGCCCTGAGATGACATCTGTCGTGACTTGGTGCTATAGATATAAATAAATTGAACTGAATTGAATCTACATTAGTTATTAGTGAACCTATCAAAAATGGTCAGAACACACAGCAGAGGTTTGAGTTATCAAACTGTTCAAAATACGTCCTGTCTTTGGCTGTTGATAAAAACATAGACAGCATTTGAACTTGTGGTGGCTGCAGTAGCTCAGTGGTCAGTGCTGTGGTCTTGTAATCCTGGGGATGCGAGTTTGAGCCCAGGTTGCGTCAGAATGGGCATCCAGCATAAAACAACTGGTAGATCTTCATGTGAGTTTGCTCACTGTGGTGGCCCCTGAAGAAGGGAGCAGCCAATATTTTTTACTTGAACTCCCTTGTACTCAAACAAGGCTACTTTTAGGATTTACATTTTCACCGAATTACAAGAAAAATGATAAAATATGATGATTATATAACATAAGATCAATAACACATACTAATTGTTTTGTCATTAGACTCATTATTAAACCCAACTCATACCACAGTGGTTATTTTTCTGTGCTTCATTATTGTAGTTTGTTGGTTTTAAAGAGAAATCTGTCCTGTTGACTTTAATCTACAAAATTACAAAATCTTGTAAACTGATGTATAGTTCCCAATTAAGTGTGCAAGTGTGTAACGCTACCTGTTTTAATTATTGTCCCATTGTCCATGAGGACCACCACATCAGCTTTGTCCACAAATTCTATACGGTGTGTGCAAAGGATTCTGGTCTTTCCTCTGAGGAGCTCCATTATACACTTCTTCATGAGGTGTTTGGCCACATCTGCATCCACAGCTGCCAGTGGATCATCCAGCAGATAGATGTCTTTGTCCTGATGGAGTGACATGAAAAACAGAGGGCATTACATGCAGGCTTTGGTTGTTTACGTGTAAACAAGTTTCCCTACACACAAAACGTGCATGCTTAAAAAGTTGTCCCTGACTGGTTGCATAAGATTATAAACTGGCCAGGAGCAGTTCAACTGGGATTTTGCAGGAACTTTGAGCCCCTTCAGGGCTACATTCGATGAGTTTAATGACATGATGTGAGAAATAAAAGGAAACAAATTACACCTCTTTCTGGAGGGTGCACCAGTTAAAACCATTATAGGTAAGCAAAAAATACAACAGTTAAATAGTAACATCCAACTGAAATGTTTTTACATATATTACAACGTGCACACGTTGTAACCCCCTTTTAGGATTGCCTTAATTCTCCTAGACTTTTCAAAGCCCCATCAGTCATTGTGTTCTCAGCCTGAAAAAAGTAGGAGCAAAGTTATTACTGACGACATAATTAGATGTCAAACCTAAACATTTAACTGAACTGGGGATAGGAACATGCGAGGCAAAGATGTTGAATTGTTTTGTGTTTGAAACTGTTGGATAAATTAAATGTGCTTTCATCATCTCTTTACTCAAATAAGCCACTCTGAGGACACGAGAAGATCTTGAAACCGGTCTTTACTTGCGAGGGTAGACGTCATGAGGAAGCTTTCGCAGATGTACAAAAGTTACGCTTTCAGCCTCGTCAGTAGGATCTGCACCGGACAGAGAGGCAGGAAACGCTTTAATACACAATTATCACAGAGTCGAGGTCAAGACGACCTCGGCTTTCCAGCGTACAGACGAGGAGGAGGTCTTGGAGTTATCAGGGCTCCTCCATGTGTCTGCAGGCTCCTCTCTTGAGGAGACAAAACAACTCTCCAACTCACAGACGTTAGTTATGGATAAACAATCCATAACCTTTACTAAATTCCCTGGACAGAAACCATTCCCCAAGCGTCATTGCAGTGGGGGTGGGCAGATCGTCCTGCAGAAGGAGGTCCCTGCCATCGGGAATGCTGTGTTCATGAAGATGAATTTTTCCTTTGTAAAGATGTTTAGGTTTGTCAAAGTAAGAGCCACATGAGTGGCAGGACATCCCAGAGAAGCTGCAGCTGTGAGGAAGCTTTGTCAATTTGAGTCTGGTCAACGTCCCTCACATCACTACACTTGATCATTCTACATCAGTTACCAGAACCAAATGTTTATTCATGCACTGTATTGATGTCGCTGCCGTGAGATAATGTATGTTTTTGTCATTTTCTCTAGATCAGGGATGCCCAGACTTTTTCATCATGCAAGCTCCTTTTAAAATGACCAAGTTAAAGTGATCTACCTGCAAGAAGGCTCCATTTACACAAGAACAACCTCTGGAAATGTGTTTTTTTCTATGTTTATTAGGGGTAATAAACAAAATATGAGCAGGTTTACACTAAAACGCTGTAGTTTCCATGTGTCGGGTTGCTAGATAAGAAATTATGATCTACAGTACTTTCCCTTTAAAATTATAGTATTTTGACCTTTACTGTTATATGTGCTGAGTAAAGATAGTAAAGATATTCTAAGATGGTAAATGGACTCACTTACATGTATATAGCACATTTCTATCTTATCAAGGTACTCTGTAAGAGTCAAATTAGTAAAATAAGTAATTGATGGCTTGACAGGTGAGCACGCAGCTTTGCCACTTGGGTGGTGGGTGTGTCAGTGCGCGTGTGTGTGTCGACTGTCACCAGATATAAATGACGTGCTCACTGGCGTTCTGGTTTTTGTATGGATGAGGAAGTTGGATGCACCCGGGGTTGTCATTTTTTTTTTATTGATTGTATTTAATTTGATTGTTCAGTATCAAATGGTCAAAAATGTTTACAGTTTAAATAAGGATATATTTTTTATTTCAGGCAAATTGATGCACTTTAAGTCTTTTCTGTTACAGATTATAAAACAATGTTAATAATCTTTGTTGTAAGTTGAGCTATATTTCTTTCTTTATTTAATTAATGTTAATAAGGGTACAATGTTATCCGGAGGTGTATTTATAAAAATTTGTTAGACAAATGATAGTATTTTTATTTTATTTATTTATTTTTTAGAAATTTATTAATTTCATTAAAAACAAAATAACAAAATAACTTTTTTTTTTTTTTTTTTTTAAGAAAATGGGGTGTGTTTTGGCTGTTTGTGCACTGGGCACAACAGCAAAGACTGTAAAAGACAACATCACTGTAAAGTGTGTACAACAAAGTCCATGCTCAATAATCCAGGTATACAATCCAACATTTTTCAGTCAGGTCATCTGGACAGTTTCTTTTTTTTTGTGCTGACACGTTTCGCCTTCGATCCGGAAGGCTTCATCAAAGAGACCATCTAATCACCAACAAAACTGGTTTGTTCCACTTTGGAGTAAGCTGTTGGGGGAAGAATCAGTTTTGTTGTGTGTTTCCTTGACTGATGAAGCCTTCTGGATTGAAGGTGAAACATTTCAGCACAAAAAAAAGAAACTGTCAGAGAGTCAGAGTTTCTTTATTGTCATTCGCACCTCATGTGGTACATGTGGTGGAGCAAAATTATGTACACAGGGTCCCAGTTACATCCAACAATAAAATGTAAAAGAAAAACAAATGATAACATCTAAGATATGAACTAAAAAAAACATCAACTAAATATATACCAAGCACTCATAACATAAAAACATCACGTCGAACATCAGCACAAACATGAACATGAGTCTGTGTGAGCAGATGAGCATGAATGAACACAGCAACACGAAACAGATCAGCAGCAACATGAAACAGATCAGCAGCAACATGAAACAGATCAGCAGCAACATGAAACAGATCAGCAGCAACATGATGTGATTTTTCACAGTGATTATTCTGGTTAGAGATTCATGAGTCTAACAGCCTCAGGGTAGAAGCTGTTCCTCAGTCTAGTGGTTCTACACTCAATGCTCCTCAACCTCCTTCATGAGGGGAGTGGGGCAAAAAGTGTGTGTGCTGGGTGAGTGGAGTCCTTCATGATGCAGGTGGCCCTCTTCCTCCATCTAGAGGTGTAGATGTCTGTGATGATGGGGAGACTGACTCCAACATCTTCTGTGCAGCCTTCACCACTCTCTGCAAAGCTTTTCTTTCTGCAGCTGTGCAGCCTCCATGCCACACGTTGATGCTGGAGCACAGGATGCTCTCCACTGCACACAAACTGTCCAGATGACCTGACTGAAAAATGTTGGATTTTATACCTGGATTATTGAGCATGGGCTTTGTTGTTTTCAACCAGTTTGACACGACTGTCAACAAGGAAGAGGGCCAGCAATGGAGGAGGGGGCGTTCCAAAGAGACCAACTTAGCACCAACAAAACTGGTTTGTTCCACTTTGGAGTAAGCTGTTGAGGGAAGAATCAGTTTTGTTGTGTGTTTCCTTGACTGATGAAGCCTTCCGGATCCAAGGCGAAACGTTTCAGCACAAAAAAAGAAACTGTCCAGATGACCTGACTGAAAAATGTAAAGTGTGTAGTTTAAGACATCCCACCATGCTTCATGTCTTCTCCAAAGAAAAGGAAACAGGTCCAGTCCATATGAAGAAGGAAGTGGAAACAACAAGTGGAAGTGCCTCCATCTCAGCCCAATCCAGTGGTCTAACTGGGGCCGGCGAGCATGGTTGTACTCTCTCTATTTTACCAGTCAGAGTGAAGTCTATAAAGAGCCAAGAAACAATAATAACATACGCCTTTTTAGACCCTGGAAGCTCTGCATCATTCTGTACTGAGGAACTGATGAACAGATTAAATGTCACTGGAAGACGTACAAGCATCCTTCTGCGGACAATGGGTCAAGAAAAGGTGGTTGGAAGCAACATTGTATAAGATTTGGAGATTGCTGGGCTGAATGAAGACACCTTTTGTGAATTACCTGATTTATTCACACAGAGAAACATGCCTGTTCATTGTAGCAACATTCCCCACCAAGACGACCTTTAAAGGATGGCCACACCTGAAAAGATTGAAGATTACTGAAATCAATGCAGGAGTCGATTTGCTCATTGGGACCAATGTTCCCAAAGCGCTGGAGCCTTCGGATGTCATCCGGAGTCAAAAATGGAGGGCCATATGCTGTAAAGACTATCCTTGGATGGACAGTGAATGGGCCTCTCAAAGGGAACTGTGATGTCAAAATAAGAGCTCTACAATCAACTGATACTGTTAACACGATTTCTGTGTCAAGACTTGATGATTTGTTGCAACAACAAATGCAGGTCGATTTTCCTGAGTGTTCTCAAGATGAACAACCTGGATGGTCCAGGGAAGATAATCAGTTCATGGAGTTGGTCACAAAATCAATTATGTTGAAAGATGGTCATTATACCATCGCTTTACCTCTGAGACATAAGGATTTGAAAATGCCCAACAATAAGAAAGTGGCTGAACAGCGTGTTTTGAATCTCAAAAGGAAGTTTATCAAAAACCATCAATTCCATTCAGACTACACTAACTTCATGAATGACATAATTTCCAAGGGGTATGCAGAGAGAGTTTCAGTTGAAAATCTTGAACGGTGTGATGGGAGAGTTTGGTATATACCACACCATGAAGTATATCATCCTCACAAGAAAAATATAAGAGTTGTGTTTGACTGTGGTGCAACTTTTGGAGGAAAATCTTTAAACACTCAACTCTTGCAGGGTCCAAACCTCACTAGTTCATTGGTTGGTGTCCTCATCAGATTCAGAAAGGAACCAGTTGTCATCGCAGCTGACATTGAGGCCATGTTTCATCAGGTCAGAGTACCACCGTTTGACTCTGATCTGTTGAGATTTCTTTGGTGGCCAAATGGAGAATATGAACAGCATCTGGTGGAGTATCAAATGGTTGCACACCTTTTTGGAGCTACATCATCTCCAAAACTGTGCATGTTTCACACTGAGAAAGTGTGCAGAGGACAATCAACAACTGTTTAGACCAAACGTCATAGAAGCTGTACTTCACAACTTTTATGTGGATGACTTCTTGGTTTCTGTGAGCACAGAAGAGGAAGCTATCTCAATATATCAAGGACTTCGTGCCTTGTGTAAAAAAGGTGGATTTCAACTTCTCAAATGGATAAGTAACCGACACAGTGTTCTTACTGCTATACCACAGCATGAAAGGTCCATTGAGGTGAAGAACCTGAATATAGATAATGATGACCTGCCAGTGGAGCGTGTGTTGGGTATACAGTGGTGTGTACAATCAAACCTTCTAAAATTTAAAATCATCCTCAAAGACAGACCTTTGACAAGACGAGGAGTCTTGAGTCTTAAGTTCCATTTATGATCCTATTGGATTTCTGGCACCAGTTGTCTTGGTCACAAAGGGGATCCTACAAGATCTAAGTAGAAGGCATGTTGGTTGGGATGACCTTTTGCCACATGATGCAGCTCAGAAGTGGAAAAACTGGTCGGAAGGACTTCATCAGCTTGAACTGTTTGGAGTTACCAGATGTCTGAAGCCACAGAACTTTGAAGAAGCTACAAGCTCGCAGCTTCATCATTTCAGTGATGCGAGCGAGAACGGATATGGAATTGTGAGCTACTTGTTGCAGTCTAATGCTGATGGACAGGTGCATTGTGCATTTGTAATGGGTAAAGCCAGAGTAGCTCCACTTAAACCCATCACCATTCCTCGCATGGAGTTGACAGCGGCAGTTGTCAATAAACCAGGTGTCTGTGGTGATAATGCATGAACAGACCACCAGCTTTAAGAAAAATGAAGCCTGATCAAAAGTTCTCCTCAGCAACATAAGGACTGAACTCCTGCTTTAAATCTAGCTAAACAAGATAAAGTGTAATCAAAAGTGTTTTACTGTTTTGATAATGTGTAACCAAACTGTTTTACTAATAATCAACACATAATCAACTAATGGAAGTATTAATCTTTAAGAAATTGTATAATCCTTTGTATGATTGTGTGATTTACTCACTTGTGAAATGGTAAAGTAAAGAGGCCTCATGTAACAGAGAAACATGTCTGAGCATGCCCACCTAAGAACAAGTCTGGACATGCCTCGAGCAGTAGAGGAGAACAAGAAGTCATAGGGTTCAGAACACGACTCATCTCATGATGACGCATCTTTGAGCAAAACAAGTTCTGGAAAGTACCGAGAAAACCGGTCTGTACCGGTTGAGGTGCAAAACAGCAGAGAAGTTACTGGAAAAGAGATGATGTAATTTTCCATAACCCCTCCTTAAGAGGAGGAGGGATGAATAAGTCTTTAAATACAGACTGGACAGAATGAACTTGGTCAATGCAAAGTTGGAGCTGAACTGGAAGAGCTGAGCAGAGGAGATTACAGGCGATGGACAAGCTCGTCGGATCAGAGGGAGCCCAAAAAGAGTTGGATTTTACCAGTTTTGAGACGATGATGGGAGTTAATTCTTTTCTTCACTGACATGGGATTGGATTTAAGCTTTCTTTCATCAACCCTCAAACTGGATGAGTTTCCTACTTCTATTAATGCTTGACCTGGGCCCGTCCAAAAACTCTGATTCTCTTATTTGGAATAGTTGTACTTGCCTTTGAGGATCGGCCGGTGTCTCTCTCCTAGAGAACTGGAAATTTGCCCTTACCCCACGGTGACTCACTAAGGGTCACCCCAAAATCATGGTAAGCGGACGACCTCATTCTTACTCTGCTCTAATTAAATTGTTTCATCAAATTGGAAGAACAGCATACAGAATAAATTTGGGAGTACTAAATTGGTTACTGGTGAGATTTGCTCGAAGGTGCTTCTGGTTCATGAGAGAGTTGAGAGAGAACATCTTTTGGCTTGAGTTGTGAAAGATTTATGTGAAGGCAGTATCTGTAAACCCTCAAGGGCTCTTGAGGTTTAGAATTTCCACGGATAGTAGTCATCGCCTTGTTTAGGGAAGAAAATGTATCCTATGTACTCATGAAAAATTAATCATTATAAAATTGTGCCTGTTGCTGTACCCCTGCGCAAACTATTGATTAAAAGCAAAGCAAAACGTACAAATCTGGACTGTTATTTCACCCTTAATGAGCAAAACATGGAAATGCTTGGTTCACTTAACAACACCAATAACAGGAGGTTTTTGTAAAGGTTTCCTAGTTGATAAACAACACCCTTGAGCCCGTTTCCAGGGCCCTAAAGATTACCAGAACAGTTAACAATTGCAACGCTAATGTAAGAGGTGAGAGGCCACAACGCGAGTTTCTCTGGACCAGAAGATCCGTTCCCTGCTGCTTGGATGATCGAGGTAACAGGGTGAGATTAGGGTGTGACTCACGGATTTAAGGTCGTTAATATTCTGGATGAATCACCTCGCCGCAGCCTTAACGAGGCTACTTTAGACAGCTACAGGTAATACCACGGCGCTGAAGTAAGCTTCCGGACCCCTTGGAGGAGAGGCTGCAGGCAAAGGTGTTATCGCTACCTCCAGTGGTTACCTTTGCCCATCGGAAAGCAGACACAGTGGTTGCCAGCCGTTTGGATAAGCTATTGAAGAAGGAGTTAAGGATGGAACTACAAGACTCAGTTTTTTGGACTGATAGTACTTCAGTTTTGAAGTACATCAAAAATGAAAAATTGAGGTTTAAGACCTTTGTGACAAATCGGGTTGGAGAGATACTTAATTTGTCAAAGTCCTTACTGTAAGGATGGTACTTTTCTGTGGCCCGGTTTGTTTCTGTTTCCCTTGTGCTCCCTCATTAGTTCTATTAGTGCCACCTGTGTCTCGTCCCAGCTGTTTGTTATCACGTCTCGTCTTGTCCCTGTATTTAAGCCGTCCGTTCTGTCTTATTCTTCGTCGGGTCGTCTTCATTGGGTCTCCTGAGTCTTTCCCCGAGTCTTCCTGGTTCTTCGAGTTCCCTGTGTCTCTCGTGTCTCCTGAGTTCCCCGTTGCCTCCTTCCTATGTTCATGTAAGTTTTGCTGCCCCGTCAGCTTGTTATTTTGTACTTTTATTTATCATTAAAATCCTATTTTTGTATTCCTGCCGAGTTGAGTCCCTGTTCTGCACTCTGGGTTCGCTCCTGACCACAAATCCTGACACTTACAGTGGAGGTACTGTACATTGCTACCAGTATTAATCCAGCAGATCTGGCATCCAGAGGAACAAGTGTGAACTCTCTTTTGAAGACTGATACCTGGGTGTCAGGACCAAAGTTTCTTCAGGACCCTAAATGGAAATGGCCTGCAAATCCTGAAGACAAAAGTCATTTTGCTCTGGATGATCCAGAGGATGCAGAGGTCAAGACATAGGTTTCTGTTAATGTGACATGCACCAATGAACAAGTGGATCCAGTTATGAGCTTCATCCATTCTTTTTCCTCTTGGGGCAAACTGAAAACAATGGTTGGATGGCTTCTCAGGTTCAAACAATTGCTGTCCAAACTTGCTCAAAGGAGAGCACAATTGAAGTTGGCTCTTGCCAACTCTGATCTTGATGATGAAATTTTTCAGGAGACTGAGGAAAGAAATGAAATGTGTTCAAGAAAACTGTTGCATTGGGTGCCTTGTCATTAGAAGAGTTTAGAAAGGCTGAGAGTGCCATCGTCTGTTGTCAAAGAAAGCGATATCCAGAGGAAATGACAAGTTTACAGAAACATGAAAGAGTGAAGAAGACAAGTCAGCTCTATAAGCTTGATCCTTTTCTCAAAGGTGGTGAACTTAGAGTTGGTGGAAGGCTAAGCAAACTAGCTATGCCTGCTGAAGCTAAATACCCAGCCATGTTGGCTAAAGACCTTCACATTTCTGAAATTACTGGTGGATTCAAACCCCCTCTCTTGCATTGGAGGATGACTGCTCTAACCACTCAGTCACAGCCGCCCACTCAAGATGAGGTGTGTGTTGTGTTTGTTGAACATGTGCACAGAAAAGGAGGGGGTAAATAAGACATTTTAAATTTATCTGGCAACCCTGGCTCAGCTGCATTCATCGTAAATGCAGCGTCTGCATGACAGTTACTGTACGTCCAAACTGGTGAATATACTAACGTCTCTTTGGACCCTGGATTTTATTAGTTTTACTCCTACATCAGGGCTATTCAACAGGCAGCCCGTGGGTGACTTCAACCCAGCCCACTTTATTAAAGAAAAATGACGTCTATATTTGTTTTATGCCATGCGATCTACCCATTATGCCTCTGAGATCTACCGGTATACGATGACTGACGTATTGGGCACCCCTGCTCTACCGCCACAGATGGCTGAATTCTGTGACAAACTCACCATGTAAACTGCTCTGGCGAGGGCCAGCCGGGCCTTCTGTCCTCCGCTCAGAGTCACTCCATTCTCACCCACTTCTGTCTTGTCACCATTTGGCAAAACCTGCAAACACAAGTAGCCCAACTGAAACACCGACAATTCATAATTTGAAAACTATCACAGAGTGTCAACAAAATACTGTGAAATACAGTTTAAATAAATGTTAAACTTTTTTTGGATAACTTCAGCTCTGAAGTACTGATAGAAGCTCTGGGCTAACATGAACACAACAAGAAAGCTGCCAACATGCTGCAAAATGATCCTCTGGAGATACTGACTGTGTAAACAGTCTGTCATAACCTCACTGCCCCGTCGTGAATTTCCTGGGCTAGCACGCCTCTCTACACACACAGAGAACAGCAAACATGATGGAGAGTTATTAAAATATGATTTCAGGTCTGCTGGTGTAATTTACGACATGTTGATTCACATTGCTGCTGTTTTAGAGCCATTTTTAACCAAGTATGCTGGCAGGTTAGGCCTTCCTGTACTCTACATCAGTGCACGTCTTCATATCTCACAGGAAGAACATGTTTCTGTTATCAAAAACATATTTTATTATAAAACTGTCTTACTGTGAGGTCGTCTGAGAGTGCACAGGCCTCAATCACAGTTTGGTAGAAGGCAGCATCAAAGTCGTTGCCAAACAGGATGTTGTCTCGTACTGTTGCATGCTGGATCCACGGCTCCTGAGAGGCTAGAGCAAAGCCAGCCTCTCTGTTGGCAACATAGAGCACACCACTCAGCCTGCATACACCGGGGGAAAATGAGTACCAGCACTCTCCTGCAAAGCCTAATACTTTACTATTTATTACTAACAAAACAATCATGTTTGTTCACATGGAGAATTATCCAAATGTTTTTAAATAACAGGCTCAAAATCTGTGTACCTCTGAAGTTCTCCTGTGAGTGCAGCAAGTAGGGAACTCTTTCCACAGCCGACCTTCCCCACAACAACAACCAGTGAGCCCTAAAAGAAACGATCAATATCATTACTGCTCCAACCTCACACAGACAGTAAAATCACCACTAGACAGTTCCTGGAGACACTTTGACGGGGGCTGCCACATTGCGGCCATTTTAAATAATTGATTTGACAGTAATATGTGTTGGGTCTCAGCTACCACCATACCAAATTTCTGCTCAAGATGGTAAAAAAAAAAAATCAATGAATTATAGTTTTTTTTTTCTTTTAAGCTAAGGTCTTTTTGATTTTTTTATTTGGATCCAGTAGCTTTGGTGGCCATCTTGGGCTTGTTATTTGAATTCAGTATTTATTGTGCATTACTCTTAGCTACCAACACACCAAACTCCAACTTAATATCTCTAAAATAGCTGATTTATAGTATTTTTTCTGTTTTAGCTCAGGCAGCCATCTTGGATTTTTGATTTGCAGAGTATTAGGGATTGTTCTCAGCTGCCAGTACACCAAATTTAAGCTAGAAAACTCTAAAAACAGCAGAGTTACAGTAGTCCCTCGCAACTTCGCTGTTCGTTTTCCGCGGACTCGCTCTATCACTGTTTTTCAAAGTAAGATTGGACATTCATGCATTCAACCTTTATTTAGACAGGTAAATCCATTGAGCCTCGAGGACTCATTTACAAGACAGACCTGATGACACACATGACATGACACACATTGGCTGATTGATGGATGAGCTGCACGATCAGCATGGAATTTTTTATTTAAAATAAATTATTTAAAATGATTTAGCACCTGTGTGCAGCCCACAGCTGCGGGAAAAGCTTCCTCCTGAAGCTGATCAGCTGATCTCTGCTCTGCAGCGAAGATCAGCTCAGAGCAGAGAAGTGGGCGTGGCCGAGAGCGCTGGCAGAATGCAGCCAGTGGCAGAGAACTGAAATCATGACATTCTGTGCTCTTTTAGAGTGTTTAGTTTAGAAACATTGTTTAGAATGTTGCAAGAATGTGGGAAGAGTTTAAAACACCATATATATAAA